AAAGTACAAAAATTAGCTGGGCATGGCAGCGGGTGCCTGTAATCACAGCTACTCAGGAGGCTGAGGCAGGAGAATTGCTTGAACCCAGGAGGCGGAGGTTGCGGTGAATGAGCTGAGATAGCACCACTGCACTCCAGCCTGGTGACAGAGCTAGACTCTGTCTCAAAAAAAACCAAACCTCTGAATGACAAGTGACTCCCCAATTTAAGACTTTAGTTCAGTGCTTTTGGCCCTACCGATCTCTGCAAAACTGACTGGTTAACATAAAATGACATAGTCCTCAGGAAAGAAAACACAAACCCGTCCTTGTTTGCTTAGCAAAGCGTGGGTTTGCTAAGCATTTGAAATATTAGCAAACAAAAATTGTTTTGCATTTTTATATATTTCCCAGATTCAAAATACAGATCTTAATTTTTAATTTTGGAAAGGAAATCTTATTTCTTTGAAAATTTTTCTTTAAAGCTTTCAAAATTCCTTTGGCAATTTTTTTGTTTTTTATTTTTTTGAAACAGGGTCTCACTCTGCCACCCACAATGGAACGCAATGGCATGATCATAGCTCACTGCAGCCTCGAAATCCTCGGCTCAAGTGATCCTCCCATCTTAGCCTCCAGAGTAGCTGGTACTACCGGGACACACAACCACGCTCTGTTAATTTTTTTTTTTTTTTTTTAGAAATGGGTCTTGCTATATTGCCCAGTCTGTTCTCAAACCCCTGGTCTCACCCTCCTAAGTACTGGGATAACAGGTGGTGAGCTGCTGTGCCTTTGGCAATTCTTACTGGCGTCTTGGCTGATAGTGTATATTCCTTATAAACATGTCAAGGGATGATCATGCCTTCCAGATACCTTAACAATAAAAATCTGCTGGGTGTGGTGTCTCCTGCTTGTAATCCCATCACTTTGGGAGGCTGAGGTGGGTGGATTGCTTGAGCTCAGGAATTTGAGACCAGCCTGGGCAACATGGTGAAACCCTGTCTCTACAAAAAGAATACAAAAATTAGCTGGGTGTGGTAGACTTGGGAGGCTGCAGTGGAAGTGGAAGGACTGCTTGAGCCCAGGAGGTTGGAGCTGCAATGAGCTGTGACTGTGCCACTACACTTCAGGCTGGGTGACAGAGCAAGACCCTGTCTCAAAAACAAAAAACAAAAAAACCAAAACACCAGAACTGTCTTATAGGGACCGGGCGCAGTGGCTCACACCTGTAATCCCAGCATTTTGGGAGGCCAAGGTGGGCAGATCACCTGAAATCAGGAGTTCAAGATCAGCCTGGCCAACATGGTGAAACCTCCCTACTAAAAATACAAAAATTAGCTGGGCATGATGGCGTGTGTCTGAATCCCAGCTACTCAGGAGGCTGAGGTTGCAGTGAGCAAGTGAGGCAGGAGAATCACTCGAACCCAGGAGGCAGAGGTTGCAGTGAGCCGAGATTGCATCATTGCACTCCAGCCTGGGTGACAAGAGCAAGACTCCATCTCAAAAGAAAAAAAAAATATGGGTTCAGAACCCAAGATGCTGAATAATATTAATATTAAGTCTTTCTATTACATTCAAATTTATTAAGTATGATATAATTTCTTTTCCACATTAAGGATAACGACATTCGAAGACTGCAGGACTCTCAGGAAGTGGAACTCATTTTAATGAAAAATGGAAGCTCCGGATTGACAGAATATATACCATCTCTGACAGAAAGGCCCTGCTATAATAGCAAAGCTGCAAAAATGACTTATTAAATAATCCCAGGAATGGCCGGGCGTGGTGGCTCATGCCTGTAATCTCAGCACTTTAGGAAGCCAAGGTGGGCAGATCACCTGAGGTCAGGAGTTCTAGACCAGCCTGGCCAACAATATAGTGAAACCCCGTCTCTACTAAAAAAAATACAAAAATTAGCTAGGTGTGGTGGCACACACCTGTAGTCCCAGCTACATGGGAAGCTGAGGCAGGAGAATCGCCTGAACCCGGGAGGCAGAGGTTGCAGTGAGCTGAGACTGCACCACTGCACTCCAGCCTGGCAACAGAGCAAGACTCTTTTGAAATAAATAAATAAATAAATGAATAATCGATCCTAGGAATAAAAAACTGAAATCATTATTTCATAAATAATGAAGTCTGGATGCATATACCAATTTGCCTAACTTCATGTTTGAACTGTGAGAAACAATTATGTTTCCTCATCTCCAATTTCTCTGGGCTAGGAGAAGAGTTAAGTTCAGGGTTTTGACAAACAGCTATAAAAAACATCGCAAGGTATATTTACAACAAGGGCAGTTTATTTTGTAGAGTTGTGCCCCAATCCTGATGAGTATAGGTGTCCTTTATGAGATTCAGTCAGGACAAATGGCCAGGGTCTCTTCATGTGAACCCACATGGGCAGGGTGAGCTGATGGTGCTGGGAAAGCCAGGACCCACTTGGCAACACAAGTTCTATTAGTGTTCCTTTTTTTTTTTTTTTTTTTTTTTTTTTTGAGACAG